GCAGTGGCCACTGCCAGTGGCATGTGGTGGTGGTACTGTGTAGTTTTTGCCTGCATTAATTGGTTACAGGTGGCAGCTCTCTATTGCAGCCTGTAGGCTTGCGCAGTAAATGGATGAGTGCTTACACTATTCTGTCTTGCAAATAGTTGTTTGCTCACTACGTACGATGGTAGCTTCCATCTTTAATCTTGAAGCACTTCAAGTACGCGCCATCTCGTAGGCACATTTCTAACACATAACGATCCCAACGAACATTCCTTTGAGAAGGTTCCTGATACCATCCCTGACTCCCTATGCATTCCACTGTTTCGGCGTGTATGTGAACACATTTGGGACTAACAGGGTTTACTAGAATCCCACCACTCCACCACAGAGTCACCGCAGTAGACGTTAGATGAGCGCTGTCGCTCCGCGGCACTTGTTAAATTTCAATCTTTGACTCGTACTGATAGTTATAGAGTTGCTTACATTTGTTGTTGTATTTTTTTAACATGCGCCTTCTGGGATGTGGTTGCGGCAGCTTGTTTGAGCTGCCGCTGCTGTTATTATATTATGCCCATCTTCCAAATTGGTGCAAGTGTGCGCTTACAACATTCCAAATCATCACACTGGCTGCATACTTGCATAATGGCAAATCTGTCTGATTCCTGGAAATAACACGGATGCCTAACAAATGACTTTAGAAGATTTGTCACACAGGGGTCGCCCCTGGCAGCTTTAACTTTAAATTGTTAACTTTGTGACACTTTGTTACTAAGTGACATTTTAATTTTTTAAATACTTCTATAATAGCAGCACTATAGCTAGCGGCTAGCTGTCAGCCTGTCAATCATTGTAGTTGAGTAGGACATTGCATTGATCAGTGTAAATTATGTGAGCATGAATAACATTTTGATGTTGATTTTTACAAAATAAAATGTGAAAATACATTTAGTTCTGCTGTTAACCTAATAGCTAATAATGGCTCAGTGTTATTACATTATACTACTATAAATATTGTTATTCCTTCGCTTGGCAACATACTCACTTAGATCACAACTCTCCTCACTTTTCAAGCTTTACCTTTTCAAGCTTAGCCCTGTTTCAGCTAGCCAAGGCCTAAGATAAAATATTGCTTGTTTTACCGACCGACTCGCCAAAACGCCGCTACTCGCACATTTTATTGGCTGATTACAACAAAACAATAATTATTTCAGTCAGGCGGGTGACCCTAACCAAGGGTAATTTTTTTGTCGGCCTTAATAATTCAAGACAGGCAACCAATATAGAAATTCGGGTGGCAAAGCATTTCTTTAAAATATTGATTTCTTTTATGACTGACCTTTGCCTGTAATCATTGTTACGCCCTTTTGTATGCCCTAAAACAAACAAAAATATGAATAGAAAAATGTGCAATGCTAAAACTAATGAAAGCTACTAGTTTCAAATGCTTCTATATACAAAAATCGGCCATCAATATCCAATGTTCCTGGGACTATTGAAACCTTGGACCAATTTACAAGATGCACTCACATTTGTACCAACAAATTGAGTTTTGTAAATGAAAAAAATTACTGTAATAGTGCGATGCTGTTGGTTTTGCGGTTTCGAAATGTCCTTCTGAGCTCCTAGCTTAGCAATATGTAATACACAGAGAAAACACATAGCTGTATGGAACTAGTTGCTTACAAGCATGATTATGTAGCGAAGAGAGTTTATGACAGATAAACAGCGGCTACATCTGAGCCTGCCCGGAGTGGCGACGAACCTCGACGTGATGCGGCCATGATGCCGAGGCGCGCCAAGGATTGACACTTTGTGTCTTTCAATCACAGCCTACGCCGCACCAGACTGATATTTTTAAAGATGGAGACCCATTGGGGTACCAAATCGCCGATCTCAGGAACTAGGGCATTCTGCTAGGCTAGAACGGTTTCCTACGATACGTAGTTTGGCACAAATACGAAAATAACACGCTGTTTAGCGCACTGCGCTACATCCTTCTGTTGCATTTTCGCAATCAGAATAAGCCCCGCCTTCGTTGATGAATTTTTTGAAATTTTCCGCATTTTCACTCACTGTCAGAAGTGAACGAGTGCGTCATTCATTGAACATTTCAGCAAAACAGCACACTGCACGACAGAGGTTGGAATGACGTCACTGTCAAAATTGCGTAACCGTCCACAGCCTCATCCAATGAACTCAGGGCTGCCAACTCTCACGCATTGACCGTGAGACTCACGCATTTTGACCAAATCTCACGCTCTCACGCTGATCTTACAATATCTCACGCACAGCAAAAAAATGCTGAGATATCTCACGCATGAATATCTCTTCATGAATAAAACGCTGAAATATCTCATGCACAGCCAAAAAAAATTTACAATATCTGAAAACAGTCGCTTTAGTATGCACCAAATTGCACAAATTGAAGTTATAAAATGCAAAAGCTCCCTACCGCCCACCCCCCGCTCGGTCGCTTCGCTCCCTCGCATCTCACTTTCACCGATCACCTAATGTTGGCAGCCCTGTGAACTACGACTATGAGTCAGCAAAAGAAGACGGCGGCGTAACTTGGGAATTTTTATTTACCGCTCGTGATTTCCTCACTTTTAAGACTTGTCCGTCTGAAAACCTGGGTGATGATAACCTCGGAATTTCTCAGAATTTCTTAAGGTGCATGGAACATTTCACCAATTTAGTGGTGTCAGTTAGTCACCCACGTCTCCACTGCGGACAGCGCTTCATACTTGGACATCCTCGCGGTCGTGTGCGCATATCCCGCGGAACTGCGCGTCTCATCTGCGCGCAGCGCTCAGGATCAACAGCAAAGCTGTGCCACGCAATCTTGTATCATGTCTCTCTGGATCTCGACACCTAGGTGCGACAAGGGAGAAGAAGCGATGGTGGAGAAACACCTGCTTGAAGTTGCACCGTGAGAAACTTGTCACTAAGTTGCGCGTTTATAATCCCAATTACTAACAGGCTTAAAAGCCGAGGCTCAAGCCGAGCTCGAGAGAACCTGACTGTCCTCCCGACTAACTCTTGTTCCTCTCCCTCGTCTCTAACTTTCGATTGTACCGATTGTATCTTGTTCGACGTTCGATCATGTCTGAGAATAAACGCCTGTGTGGTACGTTACGACCGTAGTTGTTGTCTTTCTCTGTTGGTTTGCGTTATTCCATTTCCTGCACCTACGCCTAGCCTTAGTTCGCCAGTAGACTCACGCCGCTCCCGAATACCTCTGTTACAATTACATAGTAGCACTAGGCTGATGTAATTGCATAATAGGTAATTTCTAATATGAACATAGGGGTAAATTGGCTGTCAAAATGAATGAGACATTGGTTTATTGTTTTTTCAATAGTATATCATAACCTTAAAGGGATCGTTTACTCTAGGTTCTAGGGTTATTTTCAGTTAATTTAGGTTAAAATTACGCTACATAAAAGGTTTCATGGTTCAATCACCATTAGAAATATTATTAAAAAATGTTTTAAAACTAAGGACTACAGTTTGATTACAACGACGGTGGCGCCACTCAAAGCGCACGATCTGATAAGTTGCGCAAAACGACTCAGCCAAGGGCTACAGACTGAGGGTGTTTCTTATTTATTAATTTAAAAGCAAAAGGATTGTAATATCTTATAAACGACATATAGTTTCAGTTATATTATGGATAAATTTGTTCTAAAATGAACATCGTTCGGTTAAATAGCATTTAGGTATAAATATAATTGCACCTTTGTGATTAGCCCCCGGTCTGTAACGTGCAAACTAAATTGGCAAATGCGCAACTTTTTCCGGGTGGCAGCACGGTCGCGGGTGTTTTAATGGCGCCGTTCAAATTTCGTAGCGTTGATGTATAATTAATTATAACAATTAAATTGGGTATCTGGTAGCAAGTACGTGTGGGTATAGACGATTTGTTATACAGTAAGTAAAGTGCTCAATTTTAAGGTTTTGGGTTGTCCGGAGGACAACCAAGAGAGTAGCATATGGTTGTCCTTCAAGAGTTTTGGTTGTCCGGATATTAATTTAAACATGTGCTGCATGCGCTCTGCTCACGTGATGCTCAGTGCTGTAAAGCAAAAGGCCTAATCATGTACATTTTGTACGTATTGCAGTGACAGTAGACATGGCCATTCGCATTGTTTCACTTATTATATGAAGAGAATAAAATATTGGTAATGTGGTAAATGATGCTGGGATCAATGACGTATAATAATAGTAATTAAAAGTTGCATGAAATTTATTTTATAACATTTACATTAAGTCAACTAACACTACTAACACTAGGTGCGTTCACACTGGCGCGAATTAGCGGGCTGCAAAACCCGGTTTTTGCAGCCCGCTCGAAAAACTGAGCTTTTTACAAGTGTGAACGCAATTAGCTCACTAAATCGCGCTCCAAATAGCGTGCTCCAAAGACCACTTCTGACTGCGCTTATTTGCACCGCGGCGATTAGCGAGATATTCGCCTGTGTGAACAACGACACAATTAGCTCACTATTATCTCCGCTATTAGCGGGCTGAGCAGCGCGGTTTTTCTTGTGTGTGAACGCGCCTATTATTAACATTACTAACACTGTGTCAAGTCAAAGATGAGTAAAAATTGAAAATTAACACGAAACATTGTGTTGTTAAACACGTGATGTTATACTTTGTATCAAGCAAGCCAGACAATGCGTCTAGACATGTACGTTTGCAGCATATTGTGCAACCCTGGCCGTATGTAAAATGAACGCGCGTGTTATGAATATAAAATTTTTATAGAGGTTGGACACCGGACAACCACGGAAGCAATTTGTAGTTGCCCGAGAGAAAATCCAGTCGTCACGGACGACTGTTAAAATTGAGCCCTGATTACAGAGAGGTGGCTAACTGGTTAAAATGGCACTTTACTGTGCATTCACTGGTTAAATTCAATTTACTGTAAAGTATTAAATGGTTATGGAAAGCCAGCGTGTATACGTGAGAAATATAATGCATATATCTTAATAAAATGTTCATTGTTTCAGGCAGCAATGAAAGTCACACAGACACGAGCCATGCAGAGGAGATCGAGTAATAGACTACTAGAGACGGTTATGAAAACTACTTACACAGCTGGCAATGAGCTGCATGATATCAAGCTCCATGCTGATGCTGTGGTTAGATTAGATCGCAGGGGCATTCGTACTAAAATGCATCCTGGATTAGAGAATGATGAGAAGGCAAGCAAGAAGGAAGAATGCCTCCCTGATATGTTAAATCATAGAAACATATTTGAGATTATTACAGACATGTCATCGTGCAAGGACACAAAAGTTGGTGCACACGTAAATTGCTCTGTTAATGGTAGTTCTGTAAGTGAACACGGTTCATGCATTGATGACTGTGCGATTTGTTTGAGTGCTGGCACGAGAGTTGAAGAACCATCAGCTGTATGTAGTCCATCCAGTGCTCAAATACGAAGATATGAAGGCGGTATTCCATGGGACATCACAAACTATCTCCAGTCACGTGTCGTGGGTAAAGGTAGTTGCACTGAGATCGAACAGGAAGTATTTGACAAACTTGGTGTTCAACCACCTGCAGTCTCAACAGAAACTGCTACTCCTGTAACCCAAGCAGTGTCATTAACCTCACCTAAGGATCTAGGTCAGCGAGATGTAGAAGATGGAGAACCCCCATCCCTATCTCCTGTTCCTCTTCTTCCAAAACCCTTCTCTAAAGCGGTTTGCTCTGAGGACGACACTAAGGCTGATACGTTGATTGGCATTCTGCCAACGGGTAATGCTACTGAGGAGAACAAGACAGATGAGACGGTGAATGACTTGAAGTTAATCGAAAAGATGTGCTTGGACATATGCGGTGAATCCGACAGTGCAGGACAGATCGAGTCTGGTCGGCATGATGCAAACGTAGCCAACAACGACAATGAGACCCCTTGCCTCGATGGTCCATTTCCAATCGAGACCAAAAGCAAACCCAAAAGACGCAGTACCGCGAAAGTTAGAAAGCTCACTGAACTTGTACTACGCAATAGGTTTTCCGGCGTGAAAACCGGGTACGGCTCGGGTAGTTCGGGTCTTGATGCGATGGCGGTGGGTAGAATACCTTGTAAATATCCTAACCTCGTTAGTAGCCCTCTGCGATCGTATTTAGAAATGAGAACTTCGTTGTATCTTGGTTCGAACGAGCTGCAGAACGTAACGGCGATGACGCAAAGAACGGCGGGAGCGGACGGCGACATTGTGCGGCTGTTGGACGAGCTGCGTGCAATCGAGAAACAGGTGGAAGCGTCTGCGATCAGGTCATCTGAGTGCGGGTCACAGGTGAGGCCGGACGTCGTCACTAGACCCGACATCGACGTCATCGACGGCCTGACTTTCCTCTCGTTCAAATCCGAGGATTTGATGAAGGTCTACCTTGGGAAGCGCTCGCCGCGCAAGCGAGCTCACAGGCGACCGAAGCACAAGTGCCTCATGCTTGCGAGCGCACGACGGGTGCGGCGCATAGAGGACCAGACGAGAAAATATCGGAGGCTGCTGTACGGAAAGGACAATGCAGGCGCGGTCGCAACTGGAGGCGTTGGTTGCAAAGTCATATCGCCGACGAAAACGAGTGATATCACTAAAATCAAGGGTTGGAAGCGCAAGACGTTTGACAGTAGTGCTATTATAGATGAACCCTCCCCGACGCCTCCACGTCCTGCAGGTCCACTGAGCCCCGTATGCATCGTTAAGCTGAAGAAATTAAAAAGCGACGATGATATTATCGACCGTAGCACGGAAGAACCATCCCAGGAGGAAGTGAGGATGGAAGAGTGTAGCAAAAGACTGCTTGACAAGCTGGGTGAAACACAGAGCACTAACGAAGGACTGACGTTAAAATCACCAAAGATTGATCAAGGCAATGCCGTTTCCGATCAACAGAAACCCAACATAGATGGTTCCCATACGTTTGGTTCTGTATTTGAAAGTCCTCTATTGGAAGCCTATTTGCAGAAAGAGACACAAAAGAGCACCCCAGGTACGTCAAGAATACACGGTACCCGCAGTAAAACGAAGATGTCGGATACATTAGACAGTCTCTTCAGGAAACTTGAATGTGAGAATGATGAAAATTCGCCTGAAGAAGTTAAAAAGACAGAGAGTGTGCAGAGTGCACAAGAAACAGCACAGGAAAGTAAGAGTGCTCTTCCTCCTGTGCCAGCTACTAGAAGAGGTGTAGCTTTTCTACAGAAGTTGAGGCAGTCATACAGCATAGGAAGTGCCACAGCGCAAAGACCTGGTGAGGGACCTTTGTGGGTAGGAGACACGAGCGTTGATGCAGGAAAACCTCCTGTTGAATGTAAAAAGAAAGAAAGGAAACCGAAAACTAAGAAAGAGCTTATGGACATTATTAGAAAGGAGGAATTGTTGAGTGAAGAACAGGGTAAAAAGACGAACGCAAAGCAAAATCGGCCATGTCGTGACAATCCAACACCAACATTTTCTACGCGAAAGTTACTGAAACCAAAGTTGCAGTTGAAATTTCCAACGGTGTCAATGAAAGATGCAGTGTCCGCTCTGCGCACACTACAAGTGCCGGGATACCAGTACGACGAGGACTCTAATCCGCAGCCAGAACTTGACGTGTACCACGATCCCGATCACACGTCCGAACCGGTCGGCATATCGCAGTGTGGAACCGGGTACATGAACCCTCACTGCGAGTTTGGATGCATCTGCGACAGTTTGATTCAGGCTGGAAGGAGGAGGACGCGCTCCCACTGCGGGAAAGTAGAGTGCATGTTCGAGTGTGTTTGCGCGAGAGGAGATATATTCGAGGACGTCGAGAAAAGACGTTTGCTGGACGATTCTGCTGGAGCCGACCCTGATCCGCAACTCCCCCGCGTGGGCCGGAGAAAAATTCGATTGCCAGATCGTTTGAAAAACAACGTGATGGCTTACATCGGTAAACGGGTTATCAACGAGCGATTCCTCGAAAAAATATCGGCAGAGATCAATTACAATGAGCCATTGCAACACCTGGCAAGGTCCAAGACTCGACCACCTAAACCTAGTGCTGAAAACCCGACTGAATCGGCACTATGCAGTGCTTCTGTGAACAGGGTCTCCATTGCAGCTAAACCTGTAGTAGTGAGTCAATCTGCTAGTACGCAAGCTAGACCAGTAATGATATACTCTGCGAGTAAGCCGTCTAGACCAGCGACAAGTTCTTCTGCTGGTAAGGCATCTAGACCGCTGGCAAGCTGTTTTGCTGGAAAGCCATCTACTAGACCAGCAGTGGCCTCTTCTGCCGTTAAGCCATTGAAAAGCGATTTTCAGACACCTGAAAAGTGCCTCGTCACAACTCGAGATAATGACTGTGGACTGCCTGACGATAGTTGCTCAAGAACCAGTTGCTACGATTTGGTGAATAAAGTGTTCGCAAGTGAAATAAAACCTAGTGATGAATTAATAATTGTTGACGATAATGTCTCTTCTGAATACACAATAAGCCACTGTCTCGAAACCACCAAAAAGAAGAGTGAAGAGAGATTGCCTGGCAGTGATGATCTCTCCAATGCTATCAAATCTGATGCAGCTCGAAAACACACTACCGAGTGTCATTCGTTTAATGAGTGTAGCAGAGAAGTAGAGAAGTCTGACCTTCATCTTGAAGCAATGGCAATTGCAGATGCTATTGTCAGGCATTTTGATTGCCTTCGTGATTACATACAGCTGCTGCAGGATAGTATCCAAGAACACCTTCTAAAGCGTACGGAGAGTGATGGATCAAAGATGAACATTAAACTTCTATTAACAGACTTCTCGCAAAAGCTACGAGAGCTACCACATTCACAGGTCCCCGAGGTGCAGCTTTCACAGCGGCAGCTTGCATCTGCCACTAGTCCATTCAATAGACTCGGTGCGTGTGCTAGTAATGTTCTAGTTTCTGCTGTTCGGGACGTTGTTAGGACTGGAGATTACGACATTGAACTGTTCGCTGAATTAAATTCAAACGCGATACACGAGGATTTCTCGCGAGATGCTGCACAAGTTAAGCACCGGGGAGTGTTTCAGCAGAGCGCTCAAGCTGAAAGTAAGGCAGACCAGTCTCCGAGATGCCGGCCCAAGAGGCCTCGTTCTTCTAGTTCACTCAAATCAAAGAATACAAAAGATGGAGAATGCGACTCGAGTGTGACCGCTAGCAGTACAGCCAAACGTTCACATCCGTTGATCATCAGGCCAGGTGCAGAAACGAGAAAGGACTTGACTCCGATGGATATGTCCTCTCAGAATTTAATAGCACCAGTGAAAGATCAGCCATTGACTGCATCATCGATGCTGTTTGGTCCTGGAGGCGCAGCGTCTGGAGGAAGACTACCACCCCCGATAAAACTGGGACAGAAACCACAGCTGCAGTTCATTGCCAGCAACGATTCTACGCCTGCGCAGGATACAACGGAAATGGCTTCCGCTACCAAGTCATCAGAAAATGGCAACGTCCCTCTGGTTCCTGCTGGGAAAGGAACGGCAGTGCCCCCCTCTAGGATTATGTCGAGGGTGTCGCCTGCTATCTCACCAATGCAACAGGTTGTGGGGACCTCACCAAAGACGGATCACGAAGAACCGGAACAGTTGTGGCCCCTAGTAATACCGCACACCCTACCTTCGTCCCAGGGGCCTGTGGCATCGTCTCGTAACCCACGACAAAAGTCACCGCTTTTCATCTATGCCGGAAACTCGGCAAACATGCCCCCGTTTCTGATTCCGTTTGGGGCAGTAAATAGGCCGCCTTTTCCGAATCGTTGTGCACCACCACCGATGGTCATGCGTCCATGCCCACCACTCAGGTACGTCGGGCCGTGGCGGGACGTGATGGTTGCACCGGGCAGTAAGCACAATACGAGATATTGTCTGCCACCAAAGTTGATGTCCTGTAGGCCAAGCATACCTCGAGTCAATTCTGCATCACTGCTGCACACTGGCCAAACGGTAGCACCCAATTGTAGTTTGCAGGAGAAGGCCAGAACGTTGGCTCGTCCAAAGTCGCTAAGCTCTCAATCGCAGTGGAAAGCTTTCCAGATGGTCGCGTCCACGAGAGACATCGCGGCCAGCAGCGTTAGGAAACCTTCGGAAGCGTGGAGAATTTCCTCCGTGGGCGAGCGACCCACCCTCTTGCACATCGCCGAGGTGCTGGACGCAGCCGGCGAGAGCTACGTAGACTCCTCGAAAGCGACTCGAGACACAACGAAAGAAATCCGATCCGGCGAACGAGAAATCGGCGAGTTGACGCTGGCGTCAAGTTGTGGACGAAAAACCGCTGACGACCCCGCATCGTCTTCGGACGTTTGCGTCGCGGAGACTAAGAAGCAAGTGCCGGCAGTTGCCACCGAAGATGTTCAAATAAACGAGGTTGAGAATAACTGCAGTTCGTTCTCGGAAAATAACAGCAACGCTAGCGACGTTGCCAACGACAGCGCCTTCTCGAAGTGTCTGGCTGCCGTGAGAGAATTCTGCGACAACATCGACGACTTGGACGACTCGTGCGACATAGAATCTACGTTAGAAACTATCGCCGAGCAGCTGATATCTACGAATGCTGAAGCAAACGAGGAGAAACAAGCAAACTCTGGCGTCCGCGAAGGCGACGGCAACTCGACGGTCGAAGCAAAAACCGTCGTTTGCGTGGAAGTTGTCGGCGATTCGAGCGTCGACGGCGAAGCAGCGGCGGAGGCGGAGGAGGCAGAGGCGGGCAATGCCGGACAGCCGCACGGAGACGTGAGCCTCGTCCTGCAGTCGCTGCTCGACCGCGTCGTTGCCATGGAAACGGAGGCTGCGCCGCGCGGCGTACCCGCGTCGCTGCTCAACTTTCTCGCGCTTATCGACGAATTCACGGTCGACGTCGCGAGGGTCCCTCCGCCGCCCGTTGTCGCCGACGGACCGTCCAACGTTGCCGTGGAAACGTCAGATGCTGCCGTGGGAACACACGCCGATGCTGCCGTGGGAACACACGCCGACGCTGCCGTGGGAACGTTCGACGCCGCCGCCGGTACGCCCGTTGCCACCGACGACGATGACGACGGGGCTTCGCAGGCGTCAAGCGTCGTCGTGTCACAGACAAGTTCGATCGGCACATCGCGAAGTCGGGCATCGGATTCGCCGAGCGTGACGGATGGCGGCGACGTCTTGGTCAACGTTGAGACGAACGGCGCGTGCGACGATCGCTTCTCATTGATCGACGTGGAGACAATCGACGCGTGCGGCGGTGGCGGCAGTGGCGGCTTTGCAATCGACGTGGATGGCATGCGGGTGGTGACAGGAGTGACGGATCACGCGGGCGGGAGGCCATCGTCGCACGACTACGAGTGGTGGAACTTCGGAACCGGGCCGAGGAACACGACGCCGCCGCGCGGCCCATTCGGGTGAGTGGCAGGGCGAGTTTCCCCAAGCGAACGCGGTGAAAGCTTGGCCGAGCTTGCTGCGGTGGCGGCGGGGAGGGGGGGGTGAAGCGTATGCACTGCCGTACGTGTGCAATTATGTGGTTACCCACGTGTGGTGGATAGTGTATCCAGTCAAATTCAAGCTAATAATGATCCAAGGCAGTAGGTTCCTCATGGTTCGCACAGTCCTTGAAAAATCCTTGAATTTGAGGGGAGTCCTTGAAAAGTACTTGAATTTAGTAAATGTTGATTTTGTGCTTGAAAAGTCCTTGAATTTTTAGAAAGAATCCTTGCCTGTAATGAAATGAAATTTTGTACCATCAATAATGTGCAAACCTCGATAAAAATTGCGTTAAATGAGCTTAAAAAGCTATAGACATGATAGACAGTTAAATGATGATCACAAATTACAGTAAGTCAGTAAAATCAGTCAGTAAATTAAGGTATGTTGTAGAAGTGACAGTGTTTAGAAGGGTTTATTAATGTGATCCAGGTAAGTTTTAGAGGTGACATGCAGTGATTAAGAATGGGGTTATTAAATTAATCCAGGTATGTTTTGTTCTGTGTATGAATTCCGATAAAATGTCTGATAAAATGTCCTTGAAAATTGTGTCAGTCCTCCTGTATGAACCATGTTCCTACTGTGGGCAGTACCACTGCCGTGGGGGCTACAGGGTGGATATAGGGTTAGGGTAGGGGGCATTTGGGGATGAGTTTATAGAGCCAACGAGGAGAGATGGCGCTAAAAAGTTGTGGTAAAACCATTTTGCTAAAGCGATAACTGTGTCATCGTCCATATTAGTGACATTTTTTGAAGATATTTAAAATGGTAATTTTGATATGTGGTTAGGGTATTCTTCATTGACTTATTTTACGTGGGTGTCGCATTTATGAATATATATATATTCTGTATGAAGCAGACAGCTCAAAGATCACATTGTTGTTTTGTTTCTGTTCACTATATCGTATTATATACAGTCGGACCTGCCATAGGGCGAGGTAAACAATGAGCATTCAGACTCGAGCACATGACCTATAGCAATCTTTAAACCTTTAACATGCACTCATTTTGATGCTTTGGTTTACAAACAGATCATAATGAAGAACTTGTACTATAAAAGTTATATACGCGTAACGTCATATATAGCGTATGTGATACTTTTGCAAAATTTTACGTTTTACTAATCTCGTGGGGACCGCACCCACGAGTTTCTCGCTATAATCCACAATCTCGAGTGTGCATGCCATGGCGCCATTGTATGTGCCGTTGCAGTGCGATGTAGTCCTAATACTTCACTTTTCAAGGGAGCTCGTCGAAAAGTGGGTTGGGGGCAGGTCCGACTGTGTTTGTTTTTTCAGGGAACAGGTCCGACGTTTGGAATTGGGAAAATGCTTTCTATGTCTACAAGAAAAGTTACCGGAGCATACCAGTGCAACAAAAGTATCAAAGAGAGAAACTCTGAGAGGGGTAGGTGGTCATTCAACATAAACAATGCTTAACTATTGAATAACCGTGTTTAAACAGAAGAATATATATTTGACATCGGCCAACCTAATTGTATGTTATCACGGCGCATCGTCATGTCATAAAATTGTTTTTCGCAAGCTTTCAACCTGTTACAGTCATCGCCTGGGTTACAAAATGGATGGGGTTATTGAAGAGACATGGTATTCCTGGAGTCCGGGAAAGGGTACCACAAAGGAAACATTTTTAAATAGCTTAATAATAAATACAGAATTTAAAAATTAAATGTAAGGAGGTGTAAGTGTATGGTGGTCTTGGAAAAATGTGTAGGTTTTATGTCTGAGGAGATAGCTAAGAGCACAGCCTGTAAGGATATGTACCCTCCCACCAGCCACACCCACATTTCATGTATTATGCTGCCTATCTAAAGACCAGTAGTGTACACATGTCTACAACACAGTAACACAGTGAGTAACTAATAGTAACACAGGCAATTCTCCGCAGTCAAGTGAATGTGGCAGCTACTTTTCCAGTCTGCAAAAATAAAACTTAGATGGCCTAACTGATTGGTTGCTCAATATATATTGGTGATATCAATCAAATATGTCCCTTTAAGAAATGTCTTTTCTTTTGAAAATTCCCATATAGGAGAATTTGCATCCCTTATGTCTATTTAATGGTCAGAATTAACCACTTCTGCCTAGAAATATGTGAGAAAACCTCTGTTAAATGATTTTGATGATGTGATAAATTGGTTGACTGAATGTAAATTCTCAATTGCAAAATTCTGTAGAGTAGGGGCATATTGTTAAATGACACAGGCTTGCACAGCAAGTAAAATGGAATATGTAATTCCAAACTTCATTAATTTCGTCTGCAAATCACATGTTGAGATCAGGTTGAATAATAAAACTACCCAATAGTAACCTTCTTGTGAAATCTTAAATTTATACTATAATTCTTATCAGTGTTTCCCCTGGCCAAAATGGTCTCTGAGGTGGTAAAACAAAATTTGGTGTGTTTGCACGTTTTGATGTCCTAGCAAGAATGGTGCAATTTGGTGCATTCTAATTAAGTTATTCTGAACACTGTATGAGATTTTCGTCAGCGAGGCGGTGTTTTGAACAAATTTCTGTGTGGCAGCGGAGAATTTGAGCGAGGCGGCCCGCCTCGCTCATGTCAATGCAGGGGAAACTCTGCTTATAATTAATGAGGCAGATGAAGAATTATCGACATTGCTAATGTGGCATAAATATTTACGAGGCTATTTTCATAGAAGAATTTGGTGAATTACTGGTTTGTAGTACCACCCAAAACTAACCAGTATTTCATGTCTAATCACGTTAAAAGTAATTTAATAATTAAGGATCAGTGGTTAGTAAAAACAATTGGGTTTTTATAAACTGCTGAAGGATCATGACACCCTTGATTAACTATGTAATTATTCATGGTTGTTTAGTATTGGTACCATGCCAGCGTGTACCTTAATCATTACATCACATTTATTGAAAAGTCATAAAATACTTACATTAGGCAAGGGGGAAATTATTAGAGATGTTATTTGTTTTTTTAGGCTGTTACCTACATTAAAAGACTGGAATTTGAAGATCAATGCCTTGTTAGAAAGAAGAACAATCTACAAAACTGCCAGAACCAGCTAAAAAGGTTACTAGAACGTCTCTGGAAAGGTATGTTCATTACAGTATGTAATTCAGAAGAAAAATGTGACTGTTGATATCTTATTAAAATGTTTTTGATGTGGTAGGTCATTTAGTTGTATGACTTGGATATTGTGTTAACTAGTGACTAACAGGTTGACCATAATACAGTGGAAATCTGAAAATTCGGACTGATTGAGGATTGGGTTGGTCTGGATTCTCGGGCAGTTCTTTCATAATTCAAATTTAAGGAGGAATAAAGAAGGGTTGGACATGATGTAAATTTTGATAGTTTATTCATTAGCAAATACAGCATGCTTCATTTATCAAAAACGAGAAGTTTTAAAGGAAATTAAAGTCAACACCTTACAAAAATGTAAACATAAAAAATATTTACGCAAGCACTGACAAACTACGCTACTGTATATGTATTATACAGATATTCTACATGTATAGATTCTCCAGGTTCCTAAAGCAATTCTTGTATAATCTATATTTATTAATATTAATATTGTTATCATTACTGCTACTACAACTGCTTCAGCCACCGCCACCACTAATATTTACAATTGTTCAAATTCCTACATATTTTGTATCATTATTCCAATTTTGCCCAGTAGTCACAATCGACATGGGTTTATTCAGTCATGCGGTCTCTTCAAGCAGCATCCCATGAATTTGCTCTGTGCGTTTCTCCAGTCAAAACGGGTAAGTACACTCAGGCGAAGATCACGACGATAGATCTCTCACGGGGCTGCGTCTACTGGAAGATCAGCAAGGATCCGAAGGATGGCAAGATGGCGTCGCAAAGCGTATCGCCGACGAGTCGGCACGCCGCAGCGGGAATCGACCACCAGGGCGGCGCCGGTGCGACGGCGAGTCCCTCGCTGGAGCCGGCCAAGGCGGCGTTCAAGCTGCTGTCCGTGGCTGCCGGCGGCGATGACGATGGCTTTACTGTCGCCGCAGACGACGTTGCCGCATCCGACGTTGCCGCATCCGACTTTGCTGTCGCCGCGGGCGACGCTGCCGCATCCGACTTTGCCATCGCCGCGGGCGACGTTGCAGCATCCGACTTTGCCGTCGCCACGGTCGACGTTGCCGAATCCGACTTTGCTGCTGCCTCATCCGACTTCGCCGTTGCCGCGGGCGAAGTTGCCACATCCGACTTCGCGGCCGCCTTGGGTGACGTTGCCGCATCCGACTTCGTCGTCGCCGCGGGCGACGCTACCGCATCCGACTTCGCCGTTGCCGCATCCGACTTCGCCGTTGCCGCATCCGACTTCACCGTTGCCGCATCCGACTTCACCGTCGCCGCGGGCGACGCTGCCGCATCCGACTTCGCCGTCGCCCCCAACGTTGCCGCATCCGACTTTGCCGTCGCTGCGGGCGACGTTGCCGCATCCGACTTTGCCGTTGCCGTGGGCGACACTGCCGCATCCGACTTCACCGTCGCCGCGGGCGACGCTGCCGCATCCGACTTCGCCGTCGCCCCCAACGTTGCCGCATCCGACTTTGCCGTCGCTGCGGGCGACGTTGCCGTGGGCGACACTGCCGCATCCGACTTTGCCGTCGCCGCAGGCGAAGATGCTGCATCCGACTTTGCCGTTGCCGCATCTGACTTTGCCGCATCCGACTTTGCTATCGTCGGGGGCGACGGCGAAGACGACGACGACGACGCGGTCTCGGTGCTGCGAGTCGTCAGCGTGTGCAGTCTGTCGCAGAGTCCCGCGATGCCCATGCTCATCGGGGAGTAGCGGCGAGCGACGGCGCAAGCCCGCGAGGCTCAGGTCGCGACGGGGTCGTGACGGTGATCCCGCGAGGCTCAGGTCGCGACAGGGTCGTGACGGTGATCCCGCGAGGCTCAGGTCGCAACGCTGCGACCCCCGCGAGGCTCAGGTCGTGACGGGATCGCAGCGGCGACCCCGCGTAGTTCGGGTCGGAGGCGTCGTTGCTGCGCCGATCACAGAGAAGCCACATTGCTTTTGCGGGTATAGATTTTCTTTGAAGGTAACAAAAACATTCCTGCTGAGAGCACTGCTGGGCATGTAAGACGTCACCAGCAGCAATGACAACTGCAGTCAGTCTCGGCTGCAGAATTCACGGTGTGTGTGTGTGTACATATAAATGTAATTCGCCGTCTGACTGTGTCTGTAGCTGCATTCAATGTACAGTCGACGAGTATCGCTTATTCCTGCGTACATCGTTGCTGAAGAATAATGTGTTTTTTTGGTTGGAGTTACATTCATTCTCTTGTGTTGGAGCAAGCTGTGCGAATTGTTGTGTGTGTGTGTGTGTGCGTGCGTGCGTGCGTGCGTGCGTGCGTGCGTGCGTGCAACAGGGTATATAACGTGATTCAGGGGGTCAGCACAATGCAGCATTGAAAGCACAATTAATCATGTTAGAAATAAACAAGGCTGCATGTCGGCAGTTATTGCACAATTAAACACAAAGATTCACGTGTATAAATTAATGTATCCTATTGTGTAATTGACGGGTCAACTACTGTATTGTATTGTATACGGTAGTTTTCATAACTGCGTAATAAGACAATGAACCAGAATATATTTCATGCTACCATCAATAACGTGTTGCTCACGATTATATTTTCTAATCATGCTGGTTGCTGTTTGATTATTCTGGGAGGTTCGATTTCTTATTCTCATTCTGCCTGTAGGTGCGCGACATTAAGTTATATATAATGTGCTTGGCACAATTTAATTGATAAAATTGGTGTGCCATCCTCTCTCTCCTGTTCTAATGGTGTTAAGAGTTCTCCGCCAAGCCTAACTTTACCATGCCTCGCATGATTTTACAGTGCCTATCATGAGCGACCGGTTATGGGAAATTATATGAATGAGAAGTTAACACTGCCCACGTGTCATTTTATTACTAGTGTTAGCGAAGTATGGCGAATATCGTCAGTTGGTGGCACTTTATTGCACCAGAGTTTCCAAGAAGAGATACGAAATGGTTACTGTACAGCTAAAGCTACCGGCTCACGATCTGAATCTACATAAACCCTAGGTTCTTCTATAGACTGTCTCATATTTTCGTCTGACGTCCGTAATTATAGAACCTCTGCCAACAACCTTGCCGCTCCTCAGTACTCGGTGATGTACTGACAGACCCTCTACCATACCGACACCCCAGACAGATTAACCACTAATGGTGTACATGATAGCGAGGTGCAAGTTTATAGAGCTCTACCATAGCTCTACCCTTCCCCGTTCTCTCTCTATCTCTCCTTTTTCCGTCTCTCTCTCTCTCTCTCTCGCTATATCTCTATCTATATCTCTGTCGCTCTCTCTACCGTTATCTCTTGCGTTTTCGTTTTCAGTTCCAAACTGCTTTACGTGTATATATAGCTAACTAATCGCAACACTACTGCTATTACTGACAGTGTACCTTACGCTGATAGGGTCTATATGTCCCCTAGGTTACTGCCGGAACGTACCCTTGGTACTAAATACTACTATCTAATATGCCGGACCGTACCTCGCCTACTCCACTAACGAGTCTAGGGAGTCGCCTACTCCCTAACCCTAGCCCTAACCCTAACCCTAACCATATCAGCTAGATAGTTACCAGGGTATGTTCCGGTATACCGGAACGTACCCTGGGTACGGTGCGGTATACCGGAACGTACTCTGGTACTAAATACTACTATCTAATATGCCGGACCATACCTCGCCTACTCCACTAACCCTAACTCTAACCCTAACCATATCAGCTAGATAGTTACCAGGGTACGTTCCGGTATACCGGACCGTACCCAGCGTACGTTCCGGCAGTACCCTGGGGAACATAGACCCTATTAGCGTTACGCACATACGTATCAGGAGTAGATAATAGGGAATTTCCTATTATCTACTCCTGATACGTATTGACGTTGCGAAATGAATGCATTCGGCCTAATCTCCAGATTTATTTCCTGAAACCGTTTAAAAACAACTTATGTTGTATAAAAAGGGTGAGGTCGATTCGTACCCATTTTTTCTGTGAGAGCCTCTCGCCTCCTCGCGAGTAGGGGGGGGGGGTTCTTCCGTTCTTGCAAATCTTCGTAAAATTTTCAACAGTTTAGGCAAAGTCACGAGTTACACTCTTTTCCTGTCCTAGTAGGCCTAACTCTAATCGCGATAGACGTCGGACATATATTCAAACACTAGAAGGCTGACTCACCTGACTCAAAATCAATCGGCTTTTAATTACACGTGTTTAGCGATTTAGAGATGACTTAATTGCCATAATTTGTAGTTGTGAAGTAAGCCAGGTTTTACTGGTGTTATTAGAAGATAGCTTTTTTATTGCTCGTTATATATACACTTGGGCCTACAACGGAATATTTGCAAAACGACAGTTCTTCAAATTATTGATGTTGAATATTCTTCGCCATTTCTCAAACTTAGTTTCTGAACTTCTGACACACTCGTCTTAGTTGACTTAGTTAAGTTTCGCAAAATTAATGGATGAAGAATTGAGTGAAGGTTAGCTGTCATATTAATTCAGATAATTATAAAAGCTCTTCATACTTTAATGTGTCAGGGTATATTATTTTATTTCTATTGTGAATCTTGTCGTTACCCGCACGATCGCAAAATAGTGCGCGCGTGCGGATCAAACATTTCCTAGTATAGTAGCATTACTGTTTTGCGTAAAAATGTTTGCAGAGATGTGTGTATGAAGAGATAACCGACCTACCATTGGAATGGTGAGGGGGTTGAGATAGCGCTGAGAGGGTCTATGTCCCTCAGGGTACTGCCGGAATGTACCCTGGGTAGTGGGTACGGTCCGGTATACCGGAACGTACCCTGGTACTATCTAATATGCCGGACCGTACCGCGCCCACTCCCTAACGAGTCTAGGGAGTCGCATACGCCCACTCCCTAACCCTAACCCTAACCCTAACCCTAACCCTAGCTCCAAGAAACGGTATTGCTAGGGTTACAATACCGTATAGACAATTACAATTACTACAATACTGTATAGACAATCCGTCGCACAGCCTGGTCGGGCTGCGAAATTTTTTTCCCCAAACGGTATAACATAGGAAGGATTTAGGCGCCTTTTGATTGGCTGGAATTTGGCAAGATGTCAGCCTCCATGACTTGTAGCCAAAATCCCGGTTGCCACTAGGGACAGCGCGTCTCCCAAGCCCGAAATAGTAGGTTTCATGTGAGAGATCAGGGTTCTTGTTAACTTTTGACAAAGCAGGTAATTTGACAATGAATAGCAGGTAACCGTTTTTCCGGCACGGACGGTAGGGCGAGCGGCGAAGGCGCGAAGCCCTGCTAGGGGGGTCCGGGGGCATGCACCCCCAGAAAAAAATTTCTGATTTGACCCACAAATAGCCTATTTTGATGGGTATGGGTTCTAGAATTTGGTAGTTTAGTTAAGGCCACCGCACACCAGCCGATTTTTACAAACGATGAAGCGATGAAGCGATGTAGGTGTGCGGCGGCGTGAATATGCGAGCTGAGAAAAAAATACAATGCGTCCAAGCGAACAATCAAGCGAACAATGCGAATTGAGTGTGGAAATTTACACAGCCACTCGCACACGCTGTTCAATCTTCTAAGGTCACGCGCACACCACAAAATCGCGTCCAAATAATCGGTTCAAAATCAAACATGTTTGATTTT